GATTTTTTGGAGGCATTAGCTCTTATGGATGAATAAGTTTTATTCTTCTAGATATGTTTTTAGGGAGTTTTTACCCCTAGTGGCCGAACCCATTAGGAGTGGCCGAAGTCCCCCTATTTTTTAGGTTAATGGTTTAATTTTTGGACAATTTTTTCTAAGTATTTGGAATAATTTGTTTGGTTTTGGTTTGTTTTGAATTATGGATAATTATTTTATGGATATTATTCCTCGAATTGATTAATTGAATTAATGGAATTATATTTATGCATATGGCCAACTCAATTAATTTATTTCTAGGTATGACTGGTGAGGAAGTTAGTTGTTTGGCTAATAGTGCTACTACGCACACCATATTGCGTGAGCAACATTTTACTAACTTCATACCTAAGAAAGCACATCTGGCAACCCTCTCAGGCTTATCTAACCTGATTGAAAGATATGAAAAGACTCGTATAATGCTATCTAATGGTACTGTCTTAACCATTAAACAATGCCTCTATTCTCCACGTTCCAGAAGAATGTTGCTGAGTTCTAGAGATATTTGAGATAATCAATTTCATGTCGAAACCACTAAAGAGAATGGTTCTAAATTTCTTTGTATCACTTCTTACGAGTATGGCCAGAAGCGTATTCACAAGAAGCTGGAACATCTCCCGAGTGGGTTATATATCACAACCATTCACGACATAGAGACTCACCATGTGTTTGAGCCCGGATTCCAGAGCACTTTCCTGCTTTGGCATGATCGTATGAGACATCCTGGACGTGACATGATGTGCCGTATCCTCAAATCATCACATGGGCATCATTTACCTCCCTACGTTGGATTCCCGCCATGCAAAGTTTGTTTTTTGGGGAAGTTGAATACTCAACCCTCAATTACAAAGATTATTCACAACCCTCCTAAGTTTCTTCAGAGGATTTAATGGGATATTTGTGGAGATATTTGTGGACTTATCCAACCAAGATGTGGACCATTTAGATACTTTATGGTGTTGGTTGATGCATCAACACATTGGTCACATGTCTGTTTACTGTCCACACACAACTTGTATTTGTGAAACTCTTAGCATAAATTATTAAGCTTAGGGCTCACCACCCTGATTATCCGATCAAGTCAATTTGATTTGATAACGCTAGAGAGTTTACGTTATAGACTTTTAACGACTATTGCATGTCAGTTGGGATTAAAGTCAAACATCATGTGCCCCATGTTCACACCCAAAACGGCCTGGTAAAAGCTTTCATAAAGTGCCTTCAATTGATAGCTTGGACTTTGGTTATGCGAACCAAACTGCCGGTATCTGCCTGGAGTTATGCAATATTGCATGTAGATATGTTGGTCCACCTGAAGCCCACCGCTACCCAACCTCATTCACCGTTATAGTTGGTTACAGGATACGACCCTGACGTCTCGCATTTACGTGTGTTTGGGTGCGCAGTTTATGTGCCAATAGCGCCACCACTACGTACCAGAATGGGTCCTCATAGAAAAACAAGAATCTATGTTGGTTATGATTTGCCATCAATTATTCACTATTTAGAGCCCTTGATAGGAGATTTCTTTACCGCACGTTGTGCGGATTGTCACTTCGATGAGACAGTTTTCCCATCGTTAGAGGGAGATAAGCATGCTAACATTCCTGGAGAATGCCACGAATTGTCGTGGTATGCTCTTACTATGTCTCATTTAGATCCGCGCACTGCTCAATTTGAAACTAAAGTGCGACATATTATAGATCTTCAAAGCATTGCTCAAAGCTTATGTCGGATGCTTTTACTGATCTAGCAAAGGTGACGAGATCACATATACACGCAGCAAACCCAACTGCAAGGATAAACGTACATTGAGTACACCGTAATACCACGTTGGAAGGCTGAACCGTTCCTGAAGGTAGGGGGCCGCACCTTTCACATGACTTGGTACATTGGTGGCTAGCCAATCATCTGCTCCTACCTTAAAGTGTAGCAGACCCCCTGGTTCAAAGGATTCACAAACTGGGAAGAGGAAAAGGGCACAAACTAGTGACCTTAGACTAAACCCGATCATCACTCACTCATCTGTTCCAACGCATGAGGTTATTCTAGATTACGGTGATATCTTAGATAAGACAACCTAACCTCCCGATAATCGCAAAATTTCGATCCACTATGCAGTATTGGTGAGGTTTGGAATCAGAATGAGATGATCGTCGACGATGCATTTGTGTACACAATAGCGACTGACATCATGCTTAGGGATGACATTGAACCACATTCCGTTGATGAATGTCGACGTAGAACAGATTGGTCAAACTGGAAACAAGCAATCCAGGTTGAACTTGATTCGTTTGCGAAATGTAAGGTGTTTGGACCTATAGCTCCTACTCCACCACATGTGAAGCCCATGGGCTACAAGTGGGTTTTCGTGAGGAAGCGTAATGAGAAGAATGCAATGGTGATACAAAGCACACCTCTAGCAGCATTGTTTTACTCATAGAGTGCTGGATCTGATAACCTTGAAGTTGGGATGGAAACCAAAGGAATCTTCTTCTTCAACATAATCCCAAACTTCTTAGAAATATCCAACTTCTCTCCCTCTAGCAATTTCCAGTCAAAAGAATGCAAAAGTGTAGCAAGTGAATGCATCACCATCCTCTCAGCCATTGCAATCCTAGCACATATTCTTATGCCTAACCCAAATGGAAAATAGTTAAAGTCTTTCCCACTGTGTAGTCCTATTTGTTATCCAAGAACCTCTCCGGCTTGAACTCAAACGGGTTTTCCCAAATTGAAAGGTCTCTATGTATAACCCAAATGTTGACGAAAATCCAAGATCTTTTGGGAATGCTGTAGCCTCCCACAATGCAAGTTTCACTTGGGCAATGAGGGACTAAGGTCATCTCCAACCGAAAGAGGACTAAAGGGCCATGCTTAGCCTTATAGCCTTGCAAGAAATTATTTTTTAATAAACAGTGCCTTGCCATATTTTATACCATCTCCAATCGAGGGGGCCAAAGGGCCATAGGCCAAAGCATAGCCATTTGACAAAAAACTCATCTCCAACCAAAAGAGGCTATTTTTTAGCCCCCTAAATAATTTATTATTTTAATTGAATTAATATAGGTAATTGAATTAAACTACCATATTAAAATAAGGTTTTTGGACATTTTAAGTGACACTTCTCGCTAAATTAATAAGCCTTCGAATTTCTTATCTTTATATAATGAAAAGGATGTGAAAAATTGGTGAAGAATTGAAATAAAATGAGGTAAGACAGTATAAAATGGTTAAAATGATGTGAGGAATGGCTTAGGTAGCATGTGTTTGGGCTAAGCTATAGGGCTGGCTGGCTAGCTGCTCTTGGCCAGCCCTTTGGCCGGTTCTCCAATTTTTGGCCGAGTGGGGCCCACAAGCTCTTTGGTCTAGCCCTCAGTTAGAGACGATTTTCATGTCAAAACGGGTTATTTTTTGGCCTATAACCCTTTGGCCAGGTCGATTGGAGATGGCCTAACAGAGGCAGGGCTGGGTGCAAGCGCAAGGTTTCTTTCATCACAGCTTGTAAGTATGGCAATTTGTCGATGTGGAACTCTTCTACAATGTTGTGTTTGCCAACTACATCTTCTAACTCTTTCTGGGTTTTTTCCATCATCTCTAGCTTGTTCATGATTTCTACCAGTGCAAACTTAGTTGTGTTGAAGGAAGTGTTAGTCCCTCCCACCACCATATCCTGTGTAGAGAAAGATTCCACACTATAATGTTACTGGACTAATTTGTGCACTTCATTCATCTTCTTTGTCTCAAATTCAAATCATGTTAAGTACATATACACTTAAGATTACCACACACAAACAAGCCCTTAAAGGGGAACTGAGAAAGTAAATGTTCAATACTCAAAACGATCTGTCAAACATTTTCACTTAACGTAAAAATGAAAGAAAAAAAAAACCAAAAACGAAATAATAATCAAGCAGGCCACATGCAGTCAAATTGCATCATGTTGGCAGCCATAATTATATAACTAGCACATGCTTCAATTTTTTTTTATATTAGTACTATTGTTCAACATAAGCAAACAAGCTCACTCTTTATAGGGATTAGGTACGGATTAGGTCATTTGCTACACCGAACTATTTCGGACTGGACTAGGTTTAGAGATTAAGCTGGACTGGATTGGCCTAGACTAAGCAGGATAAAAATAGTGAAGTGTTTGATGCCATGCTAGACTAAGTCTCGGACTAAATTATTTTTGTCCCAATATTTTAATTTTTTCCATTTTGCAATGGAACTAGACTTCGTAATTTGCCATTATCCTACAAAACATTGTTGCATTACCCTCTTTGTCTCCCTCTTTATAGAAAACATAAACCACAACCTCTGCACATACCAAACTAATTCGAATTTCACCTCCGAGTTGTACACTGCTGATTTGACATCCATGGAGACCTTAAGTGATTGGAGGTAGTTGGCGAAGAGGAGGAGGAGGAACTCAACTTTTGAGGGGTTTGGATCCAGGTACAAAAGATCCGATAGGACGATTTTCGAGACGTTAAAATCCAGGTGGCCTTTGTGGGGTGAACGAACTCATCAAATGGGATTATTGGGCGCCAGCCAAATCAAATTAAGGAGAATCAGATCTCGACGGAGCAGAAAGAGAAGAAAGTGAGGAAAGAGATGAGGAGGGGGGAGGAGAATTGGCAAAGGGGCAACGATGATGGTTGGGTTTGTGAAAACATATAGCAGAGAGAGATGTGAGGGAGTTAGTCACAACAAATCCCTTAGTTCTTGACTGGCCTTGCCAACGAGAGAGTTTTTCCACGCGTGTTACCTTTAGCCCATTTAACTTAGTCCCTGCACTTAACAAACACATGATTACATTAATATATAGTCCAATCCAGTCTAGTCCAATGACAGTTAATGAGGCCAAACAAATGCACGAGATTATGGATGGGAACATAAGAAATAAAACACGTCAAATCACGAGAAAAGAAAACCGTAAAAAGAGGAAGATAAGTTTGAGGTTTCAATAACAAATGCTCTTACACCATCAAAAGAGGAACATAAGTTTGGTATAAATTCAAAGTCAAATTGATTACACAACGTATTTTATTTTGACAAGAGAACATTATTGTAAACATGCGGTTTTCAAGAAATCGCTAAGTGGGTATCATTTATTACAAGTGAAGTATTCCAAGGAATTTGGTAGCAGCATTGTTTTACTCATAGAGTGCTAGATCTGATAACCTTGGAGTTGGGATGGCAACCAAAGGAATCTTCTTCTTCAACACAATCCCAAACTTCTCAGAAAGATCCAACTTCTCTCCCTCTGGCAATTTCCAGTCAAAAGAATGCAAAAGTGTAGCAAGTGAATGCATCACCATCCTCTCAGCCATTGCAATCCCAGCACATATTCTTCTACCTGACCCAAATGGAAAATAGTTGAAGTTTTTCCCACTGTAGTCCCATCTGCTATCCAAGAACCTCTCCGGCTTGAACTCCAACGGGTTTTCCCAAATTGAAGGGTCTCTGTGTATAGCCCAAACGTTGACAAAAATCCGAGATCCTTTGGGAATGGTGTAGCCTCCCACAATGCAATTTTCACTTGGGCAATGAGGGACTAACAGAGGCAGGGCTGGATGCAAGCGCAAAGTTTCTTTCATCACAGCTTGTAAGTATGGCAATTTGTCGATGTGGGACTCTTCTACAATGTTGTGTCTGCCAACTACATCTTCTAACTCTTTCTGGGCTTTTTCCATCATCTCTGGCTTGTTCATGATTTCAGCTAGTGCAAACTCAGTTGTGTTGGAGGAAGTGTCAGTCCCACCCACCACCATATCCTGTGTAGAGAAAGATTCCACTCTATTATGTTACTGGACTAATTTATGCACTCCATCCTTCTTCTTAGTCTCAAATTCAAATCACACTAAGTAAATATACACTTAAGACCTTAATGGACAACGAGTTGTATGCTAAGAAGTCTAAGTGTGATTAAAAGTTCAATCTCAAAGCTTAACTGTCACAACTCCAGTAGCCTTGAATGACTATCTCATGAAAAATACTTGTAACTATAGACAGTTCTCAAACGGAAGAGTAACGATAACAAGTATTCGTAGTGACTCAATATTTGAGCTTTCATCCATGACACAACATTTGGAATTGTGATCATCACCTGACCAACTATTTTAACGTTATGTTCTCATCATACGTCATTCGTGATTTTGTCATACTCATCACATAGCTGGAAGTTATATAGGAATGAGGATAAGTAATAAAAATGTACTGAAAAAAAAAATCCCATTAATTGAACATATCCAAAACTAACAACACAATAAAACGTTGGAATCTTTTAGATTTTTTTTTTTTTATTGAAATAAGTTCGCCAAATTGCAGGCCAATCATCAATCAAGTACAAATAACAAAATCATCGAGATTCTCATGGACCACATGCAATTAATTGGGTAGGCACTGATAAACCGACTCCAATTCAGTCTATGTCTGTTGCACAAATAGACTTCCAGTCTAACAAGGAATCCTCACCGCTTGCTGCAGATCATGTTTTATCCTGATTCAACTGCTTGTAATCCTAGTTCTACACTATAAATATTAATGTACGACGCTCACTCAATTATTGAGTTAAGATTCATAATTATTATCTTTTATGGTGTCAGCGTTCCAACTAGAAATCAGTTATTATGTGATAACTATTTATTTTGAATTTATTTGGAAACTTGTTCGATCACCCCAAATCAAAACTCAGAAATTCAAACTGAAAGTTATTTTTTTTAGTTTTCAAACTTTACCTTTCCATTTTTAGTTAAACGATTCTAGAAACATTTACTAAACAAGTTTTCGGTGAAAAATAGATCAAATTTGTAGATAAAATGATATGTCAGCAATAGAAAATAAACTTGTAGTTATTAATAATAATTATAAAAATAAAAAAAAATAAAAAGTAAAATTGAAAACCATAACTAAAACCTTGCAACAAATTCAGTCAGTCAAAAATTTACTAACCATAAGCAAAGCTTTGAGATGAGACATGGTGAAAGGCGCCTTGGAATCTCCTCCCTCCTCCTTCAACTTCAACAAAAACGTCAAAAAATCCTTATTGTTCTCCTCCTTCTCTCCTTCCTTGTCAAGCCTCAGCCGTTGATCTATTATCTTCTCAAATATCCCATCAAACCTCCGGACCAACCTGCTCATCTGTTTCACCACCCCCTGCAAATCAAACCGGGCCAAACCCGGATAAAAGTCCGAAACATTCGGCTTCCCCAAAAGCTCCGTCATCTCCGACACCACTTCTCGAAACTCCGCCCCGAGCCCCGCCCTCTCGTCTCCCTCCACGGTTCCGCCCCACAGCATGTTCGTAATAACATTCAGCACGTTCAGGAACATCTGCTCCCCCACGTTGACCCGCGACCCGATCCTATCGTAGAAATTCCCGACGGTCTGTCGGAGCTCTTTCCGCCGGAGCGCATACACCGAGTCGACAGTGGTGTTGCTGAGCATTTTCAGCACGCAGACTTTCCTCAACATCCGCCACTCCGGTCCGTACGGAGTCCACACGATGTCGATTCCCCCGTACGTCGCGGCCCGAGCCGCGGCGGGGACGTCGCGGTTGGCGCAGGTGGCGTCATGGTCCTTGAGAATCTCGCGAGCGGAGGAAGGGGAGGTAACCACGACGCCGACGGTGTTGCCGAGGCGGAGTTTGAAGATTGGGCCGTGCGATTGGGCCAGGCCCGCGAAGTAGGAGTGGAGTTCTGGGTCGAGGGAGAGGAGGTTCCCAACCAAGGGCAGGGCCTGCGGACCCGGTGGCAGAGGCGGGATCGGGTTGTTGGATTTTTTGACCAGCCAGAGGTACAGAAAGACGAGGAAAGTGGCGGAGATGAAGGTCAGCAAAGTTTGATCGGATTGAGACCACGGTGAGTACAAATAGCTGGAATGGGAATCGGATGCCATTGCTGCGCACAGTTAACTGTTTGGGAATGGGAGGAGTGGAGGACTGGATTTATATAATATTTACTCGCTTGTCTGGATAATTTAATATTAGATGAAATTGGCACTTAGCTTGCACAACATTGTTATATAACAATTTATTTGGTGAGAGACTCATCCAAAAAATAGACTTAGTATTCTTATCGTGTTTCTCATTTTCGTGTCATACCCGATAGCTTAACAGGTTGTGTTATGTAATACCCGTTAAAATAAACGGGTAATATGATCCAACTCGAAATCAACCCGTTAATATTATCAAGTAATATGACCATACCTATTACCCGTTAAGAAAAATATATTTTAAATCAATATAAATGAAAATGAAAAACATAATTTGACCCCAAAAAAAATGCAAAACATAATCCTAAATTAGTATATACATAATAAATTTTGGAGTTGACCCGTTCATAAAAGTTGTAAAGTTTTTCATTACGAGTGATTACATTTTTCACACTTCTACAATAATTTTTATTAATTTTGCACTCAAATAAAAAAAACATTGTTCATGAGATTTGGAGGGTTTTAAAAATCTAAACGACCATATAACTGACACACCCTGATCTAGATCGAGGCATGCTGGCCGTCACGTGAGGATGACATAGCCATGTGCGCAGTGCGGAAGAATAACAATATAAAGAAATGCGAATAAATAAAAATCAAACTGACTAAAACACTAGATAGGATAAGGTGAAAGACGAGAATAAGTATGACTACACATAACCAGAGTGTAGGTATCCTAAGCACAGTCCATCAGTACAAATAATAATTATACACTACCAAAGATGATCCTACATTGGTGATAATCTGTCAGAACTGCCAACGATTCCTCATAAGCTATCGACAAGCACTCCTAACTAGAACCTGAAGGGGCGGAAAACAGAAAGTGTGAGTGGGCAAAAACAAAGCTTTTCAAAACCATTTCAACATCAAAGATAGTAACCCCTTGCCGTAAAACCTGTATAATTTCCCAAAAAATAGAATATATACATATCTCAAAACCATGCTCATAATAGTAATATTCAAAGGTATTGTAATACCCTGAAAATTTTAAATATATGAAATAGTTATTCATAATTATGAATATGTGGGGAAAATCGAAAATAAATCGATTTATGATTATGGAAATAGAATTGGGAAATTTTAAAGTTTTGTTTCCGAAAATTATTATAAGTTACATAAAGTGTTATCGAGATTTTATGTTCTTCATTGAGAAATTATATTAATTTATTTGAATCTAGTTTTCAATTAAACTAGTTACGAAGTTTAAAGTTTGGACCTTAATTATTTAAAATACGTAGACCTTTCGAGGTCAAAATTTATATTTTTGAATAGAGCTCGACCTTACGAACGCGTAGGCGCAAACTGTTCATGAAACGGAGTTAGAACGAAGAGGTTATTAATGTTTAAAGTCGGGGATAAAATTGTAAATTTATCATTTCTAGAATGCTCCTGATTTTTGGAGCCAAATCTGGAAGGCCACGTGTGTGGCCCAGATTAAAAGTAAGAAAAGTTAAGCGGTGGAGATGGAAAATAAAGGAGAGAAAGGAGCCAATCAGAAAAGGAGGGATGAGAGGTGACCAATGAGAGAAGAGATAAATGAGGAGAAAGGAGAGAAGAGAGACACGGGGAATCGGGACCCGGGTCTTGGTGACCCGACACAGTCGGCGCCATACACGTTTCCGGTGGATTTTCACCCATTTTTCTGGTGAATTGCATCAAACCACCCCTTGGAAACCTCTACACGATATTCCCTCTTCCTATTGCATCCCAAAAATCATGTAATTTGGTCTTCAAATTTGGGAAAGAACACACGGTGCCGTGACTTTCCTTGCTCGAAATCCATCAAAATCTGAAATGTTTTGGTTCAATTACAAAAACCATTAGATTCCCCTTGAGGTCTGGAACAAAGCCCAAACAAGGGTAGGGACGGCGGAGCATCGGAGGTGACGAATCGAGGACACCCATTTATAGGGTTTCCGGCGTGTTCAAGGCAAATTGGAGCCTTTCTAGGCCAAATTGGACTTGGCCACAGGTATAAAGTTTGCTCTACTCTTTGAGATCTTCATTTCTGTAATTTTTGATAATTTTTAGAAATAATTGAATTTTCCGGCCAGTCGGGGCGGCCGACCGCCACTCGCGACGGTGGGTGCGGCGGCGCACGGCCAGGGAGCCGATAATTGTTCTTTATATAAATTTCGTTATCCTAATTATGTTTTTGAGATCAAATTTCTATGGTTTGAATATTAATACGATTTTGGTATATGTTGGATTAATGAAATATATTCTGATTCTGTTTAATTTGGAATATGTGAATTACGAAGGGCTTGATCCCGTTACAGGGTACATAGGCAGTCTGTCACATCCCGGCCTGGGGCGGATCACTTCCAGGGCCCGCTCCACCACCGTAACACGATATTGTCAGCTTTGGGCCCTGACCACGCCCTCACGGTTTTGTTTTTGGGAAGTCACGCCTTGATTCTAGGATTGGGGTGTGTCAAAGTCTAACAGTGTTAGATGCAGCCTTAAATAATCGAGAATTTCACTTTAATTGAGAATTATTCAATTTTTGAGAACTTTGGTCAATTAAAAGAAAATGGAAATATTTTGAGATTATAATTGTGTGGTTGATAAAATATTAATGTTTATGAATCATATTGGAAATGAAGAAATTTTTATAAAGTATAAGAAATAAATTTTAGTACATAAATTTGGTAAGGTAATTATACGTTTTGATATATAATTAATATTGATGGTATTGTATGTGAGTGAGTTATTTAAATAAAGTCTTGTGATTTAAAAATTTGCTAAATAAAGTAGAGTTTAGTTGGGCCTATCAATGTTAATAATATTATTTCTGGAATTAAAGAATTAATTCGGGACGGGGCGTTACAAATTGTATCAGGGCAAATGGTCCTATTCTATGAGATGCACTATTCTTGAGACTTGTTGGTGTGAATTATGGTATACATTATGGTTGCATGACTTCACAATTTTTGTGAATAAAGCGGCATTCATGTTTTATATGTGAAATACATACATATATATATATATAGACACACACACATAAATTGTATTATGCTTATGGTGCAAATTCTTTGGAAATTATGGAAGTTTCGTTAATGGGAATTGTGATTTTCATTTATAATATTTTTTTTCCTAAGTTCATTGAATAATGAGAAAACTATGTGAAATACATACATGTTGAGAATCATCATGAAGTGAAATGAATTGGATTAACATTATGTTATGTATTATAGAATATTATTGAGATGTGGGTGTGAATTATAAATTATATTGATATTGCATTATTTCAGAAGTTCCATGAGTATGACAGAAATTATGTGAAATGCATATGTTGTAAATTATGATGCTTTGAATGGAATTGAGTGTTAAAATGATGGTAGAATGGTGACAAGTAGAGGGAAGAATTGTATTATACCTGTGCCAGTGAGAAATATTGTATGGGCACAAAGACCCAGTGGATGTGTATGGGGCACAATGACCCGTGAATGTGAATTGAATCGGGCACAATGACCCATGGATATGAATTGAATTGGGCACAATGACCCATGGATGTGAATTGGGCACGATGACCCATGAATGTGAAATTGGGCGAAAAATGCCCGTGGATTTGTGAAATTGGGCGAAAAAGGCCCGTGGATGTGTGAATTGGGCAAAAAGGCATGTGGATATGTGAAAAAAAAAGTGTGATGTGTGTTGGCCAGGTATATTACAATATTTTCCAGTCTACTAATCACTGTTTGGAATCAAGGAAAAAAACTGATGAAATCATTGTTCTGTTAATAATGATTATGAATAGAGATTTTAAAACCTTATAACCAAGGATTACCATGGTTGAGGATTTTAATAGTTACGAAAGTGGTGATTAGTGTGGGAGGTGTAGCTCACTAATTTACGCGAGCGATGGCTATATTTTAAAGCAATTTAAAAGAGAACAAATTGAAAGGAAGAAAAAGATAAAGTTTTTAAATTTACTATGGGTAATTTTGTTTAATGGTGTATATGTATTAGTTGTGTTATTGTTTCATTAAAGGATAATTCTCTGTGGTCCTTATGACCAAGAAAGAATTTTTTAACTATGGGGTGCATCATGTTATTATCAAAGCTATTACTGCTCTGAACTTTGGTTTTTCTAACATATGTTACTTCTAAGCAGTTTAGAGCATATTTTCGTAGTTGGACTTCCTAGCAGTGGATGTAAATGGTTGATGTGGTTTGATGTTTGGTATTTATCTAGCCAACGAGACTTATGCCTTAAGGTTGATATTATTTTTCCAATGAATGTGGTGGTGAAATTTGTGATAATCGTTTTAATAGTGATGTGTATGTTATGTTTATGATGCAAGTCGTTATTTTAGGTCATGAGAATTGTGGTTCGAGGTGGATATTTATTTTGCCAACGAATGTGGCTAGAAATTTTGAGGAAAAATCGTGGTTACGGTTACGTGTAGCCAATGATGGTGGATGGTTCACCAATGATTGTGATTATTAAGTTAGTATCCATATAACCAATAGTAAATGTGGTCTGATAATTTGATAATTATTTTAAGTTATGAGGACTGTGGCTTGATGTAAGTTCTTATTTTGCCCATGGGAATGACTAAATTTTTTATATTTATTATGTTAATAAATGTGACTTGAAACCTGAGACTATGAGTAAGCATCACGATTACTATTCGTTGGTTTAATTATTTGTGGAGCTTGAATAAAATTGTAGAATGAGATTATAATTATATTCACCATAAAAGAAATAGTGGAATTAGTTTTAACTTCTTTTCGTAACTTGGTGGTTGAAATCTCGGGGACGAGATTTATTTTAACCTGGGGTGAATGTAATACCTTGAAAAATTTAAATATATGAAATAGTTATTCATAATTATGAATATGTGGGGAAAATCGAAAATAAATCGATATATGATTATGGAAATGGAATTAGGAAATTTTAAAGTTTTGTTTCTGAAAATTATTATAAGTTACGTAAAGTGTTATTGAGATTTTATGTTATTCATTGAGAAATTATATTAATTTATTTGAA